GAGCCACCGCGCCCGGCCCATATATATATATATATATATATATATATATAAAACTTGGTATACTCTCAGGAGTTCCTGGTTAAAAAAAAAAATAGCCTGGCACGGTGGCTCATGCCTGTAATCCTGCATTTTGAGAGGCTGAGGTGGGCAGATCACGAGGTCAGGATTTAAGACCAGCCTGGCCAATATGGTGAAACCTCCTTCTACTAAAAAATACAAAAATTGGCCGGGCATGGTGACTCGTGCCTGTAATCCTAGCACTTTGGGAGGCCAGGCGGGGGTATTGCCTGAGCTCAGGAGTTCGAGACCAGCCTGGGCAACAGAGTGAAACCCTATCTCTACTAAAATACAAAAAATTAACAGGGCATGGCAGCATGCGCCTATAAGCCCAGCTACTCGGGAGACTGAGACAGGAGAATCACTTAAACCTGAGAGGTGGAGGTTGCAGTGAGCCAGGATCATGCCACTGCATTTCAGCCTGGGCAACAGAGCGAGACTCCATCTCAAAAAAAAAAAAAAAAACACAGCTGGGCATGGTAGTGCCTGTAGTCCCAGCTACTCAGGAGGCTGAGGCTGGAGGATCACTTGAGTCCAGGTGTTCTTTTTTTTTTTTTTTTTTACATTGCTTTTGTACAGTGACACACATCTTGAGTCCAGGAGTTCTGGGCTGCAGTGCGCTATGCCGATTGGGTGTCTGCACTAAGTTCAGCATCAATATGGTGACCTCCTGGGAGTAGGGGACCACCAGGTTGCCTAGGGAGGGGTGAACCGGTCCAGATCAGAAATGAAACAGGTCAAAACTCCCGTGCTGATCAGTAGTGGGATCGTGCCTGTGAATAGCCACTGCACTCCAGCCTGGACAACATAGCAATACTCCGTCTCTTAAAAAAAAAAAAAAAAAAAAAAAGTATAGGCCGGGCCTGGTGGTTCACAACTATAATCCCAGCACTTTGGGAGGCTGAGGCGGGTGGATCACCTGAGGTCGGGAGTTCAAGACCAGCCTGACCAACATGGCAAAACCCTGTCTCTTCTAAAAATACAAAATTAGCCAGGCATGGTGACACGTGCCTGTAATCCCAGCTACTCGGGAGGCTGAGGCAGGCGAATCACTTGAACCCAGGAGGCGGAGGTTGCAGTGAGCTGAGATCGCACCATTGCACTCCAGCCTGGGCAACAAAGCGTGACTCCATTGCAAAAAAAAAAAAAAAGTAGAGATTATTATTGGCAAAGCCAGGTGACCTAGGGGCTTATGGACCGTGGGAGAGATTTTGCTTTTACTCTAAGAGAATGGGGAGCCATGGGCAGGTTTTGAGCAGAGTAGGGATATGGTCTGTGTTAGATTTAACATGGTCCCTGACTGCTATGGGAGAATGGGCTGCAGGGAATGGGAGTAAAAGCCAGGAGACCAGGGAGGACACTACAGCAGTAGTCCAAGCAAGTGGTGGTGGCTTAGAGTGGACCAGTGGAGGTGGAAAGACGTGGTTAATTATAGATATATATTTCATGGATATATGTATTAGTCCGTTTTCACACTGCTGATAAAGACATACCTGAAACCAGGAACAAAAAGATGTTTAATTGCATTTACAGTTCCACATGGCTGGGGAGGCCTCAGAATCATGGTGGGAGGTGAAAGGCACTTCTTACATGGCAGCGGCAAGACAACATTAGGAAGAAACAAAAGTGGAAACCCCTGATAAACCCATCAGATCTCGTGAGACTTACTGACTGTCACAAGAATAGCATAGGAAATACCAGTCCCCATTATTCAGTGACCTCCCCCTGAGTCCCTCCCACAACACATGGGAATTCTGGGAGATACAATTCAAGTTGAGATTTCAGTGGGGACACAGCCAAATCGTATCATTCTGCACCTGATCCTTCCAAACTTCATGTCCTCATATTTCAAAACCAATCATGCCTATTCAACAGTCCCCCAAAGTCTTAACTCATTTCAGCATTAACTAAAAAGCCCACAGTCCAAGGTCTCATCTGAGATGAGGCAAGACCCTTCCACCTATGAGCCTGTAAAATCAAAAGCAAGCTAGTTACTTCCTAGATACAATGGGGATACAAGGTATTGGGTACATACAGCTGTTCAAATTGGGAGAAATTGGCCAAAACAAAGGGGTTACAGGGCCCGTGCAAGTCTGAAATCCAGTGGGGCAATCAAATTAAAGCTCCAAAATGATCTCCTTTGACTCTAGGTCTCACATCCAGGTCATGCTGATGCAAGAGATGGGTTCCCACGGTCTTGGGCAGCTCTGCCCCTGTGGCTTTGCAGGGTACAGCCTCCCTCCTGGCTGCTTTCACGGACTGGCGGTGAGTGTCTGCGGCTTTTCCAGGTGCACAATGCAAGCTGTCAGTGGATCTACTGTTCTGGGATCTGGAGGACAGTGGCCCTCTTCTCACAGTTCCACTAGGCAGTACCCCAGTAGGGACTCTGTGTATGGGCTCTGAACCCCACATTTCCCTTCTACACCACCCTAGCCCAGGTTCTCCATGAGGGCCCTGCCCCTGCAGCAAACTTTTGCCTGGGCACCTAGGCATTTCCATACAGCTTCTGAAATCTAGGCAGAGGTTCCCAAACCCAATTCTTGACTTCTGTGCA